AAATAAATTAATTTCTGTAATACTATAGCATTTATCAGATTTTTTGATATAAAAAGTTTTTTAAAAAATATTTTTTTAGATTTTTTATAGCATTTAATAAATGTACTACCAGTAGTACAAAGGCCTAAATCCTATCCATTAACTGTATAGGGACTTTTCATCAACCTTGTATTATCAATTTTATTGAATCTATTGTACTGAAATCACTAACTTAATCGAATCGGCTAAAAAATCATTCAGCCAATTTTTTATCAAGTGTTCCAGGAATTATGAATATGAAAATAGCTGTAACATAAAATTTTAAATAGACATATCGACTGGCATTTTTTTTTATAATTTTCATATATAAAATTTTATAAAATCTATATAAAAAAAAAAAATTTTAAAACTCACTCTGTTATTGCAACTGTTGACAACTGAAAAAATTGCCGGTGGCCGAATCAATAAGTTACTGAGTTCGACAAACTCGGTTACTTATTGATTCCGACTCTGTAACTTATCGATTCGATCATCAGATAATTTTTCAACACCCAGAAAATGTGTACCAGGTTGGGTTCGGATGATGGTTCGGAAAATGCCTTCGAATTTTTATGATTTTTTTTTTTTTTTACCAAGACTTTATTTTTCAATTATATCAATAATATAAAATAATATTTAATACAATTTACAACACATATCTAATGAATAGAATAATATATATAACCTTGAAATTCGACATTATAATAGTTATTTCTTTTTTAACCATTTGGGTTGTTTTCTGTGACGTTCGATAATTTATGTACCCTTTTTGCAATTGATCATTCTTTATGCCCTTCATTTCAAATTGATCGATATTTTCTTTCCGAATATTCGTTGACTGTTTGAAATTTGGTGATATAGATAAGAATCTAACTTGTCTATCGATAGAGATTCGGATTTTCGTATTCTTCTTGAAATATTTAATGTCGGAAAGAAGTTTGCTGCTATTGTTAACGTTACTAATGATGAAACCTTTTCAATAGATATAATATGCTTATTAGATCTTCGTTGCTACATATTTTAAATAAATTCTGAATTGTTATTAATTAAAATACCAAATTAATTTTAATATCACTTTTAAACGATTGAACATTGCTTATTTTCACATTTGGCTGTTATAACTTCAGCTTGTGACTCATAAGCGACGAAAGTATCTGGTGAAGTGACATAAGTAGATTTGATATATTCTATTATTTTATTTAGCTAAGTCCTAATTTGATGGTTTCTTGCATGTAATTAACGAAATAGAGCTTACAATATAAAATACATGTTTATAACAAATTTTGTATCGCTTTTATTTTTTGCAAGAAAAAAAAAAAACAAACAAACAAAAAACATTATTGATTATTATAATTTAAATAATGATAAACTAATGACAATAAGTAATTTTATTTTATTAGCTAGATGACGTACGTACGTAAATACGTAATTTTTGTTTCTAGTTCCGAATGTTCCGATCCCAGACTGGTACAAATTTTCCAGGTGCAAAAAACTGCACATCTCTAATTATGCTTTTCTGATCTCATCTTATGATCAAAAATCAGTCAACTCAATTTAAAAAATTTTTTGCCACACCATTTATTATATTTATTATTATTAAAAAAATACACACTATTAGTTTAACTCATGCGATAATTCCAATCAAACTTATTCAACCAGAAATAGCGAGTAAGTTCTGTATTCAAATTTTTTTACAATAATTCCAATGTAAATTAACTCAAACTTAACCATATACAAATACAATGTGTACCAGAATAGGAAGTAAGTTCTATAACAGAATTTTTACAGTAACTCGCGATAAAAATCATAACTCAACCTTAACTAAAAATACTGTCTGCCACCAGAATAGCGAGTAAGTTCTGTATCAGAATTTTTCATCATAAAAATCATGATAATTCTAATGCAAATTAACACAACCTTGACCACTTACAGTGTGTCATCAGAATAATAAGTTCTATAACAGAATGAATTACAGGAATTCTTTACAGTGACTCACGATAGAAATCATGATAATTTCAATATATACAGTATATCACCGAATAAGATAGGTGCTACGTAAGCGCCACTCATCGCATTGGTCATAATGATAGCGAGTTAATTCTGCCCAAATAATTTTAATTTTGATAGATCAGGACGTGAAGAGAAGTAAAAAGAGTCTTAGCGATGCAGAAAATCTCATGATCATAAAATGCAGCTAGAAAGTTTATTTCTAAAAAGCGATGCTTCCTTAAGACAAACATAATATATACCGTATGGTTCCGAAAATAAGCACCCTTGGCCCGCACTATGTCAATTTTGGCCTGCATTTTAATGATCTCGGCCAGCATTATATGCAAAAAAGGAGTGCTTATTTTTGGAACTGTACGGTAACTTATGTATTTGAATTAGCAATTTATTAATAAAGTATTCTATTAAAATATTTTAATGATTCAGTCGAAAAAAAAAGGATAGTTTGCAAACATTGAAAATGGATAGTTTATAAAAATCCAGCAGATTGAGTTAAAAAAAATAGTCGGATATCCACAAATCCTCATCATTTTTAATTCCAATTCCATTTTTACAATAATATCCACCTGGAATGTTTCAACAGCGTCATCCATAATAATATCCAACATTATATGTTTCAACAAAACCACCCTTTTATATTCAAATAGAATTATTTTTTCTTTTCTCTATTTTACTTTATTTTATCTTATCTAATTCACAAGGTTCATAGCATTAATACGACGCTTTAACTTGTTTATGAAATTAAACACTTCTTCTTTTTAACCTAAATTTTCTTCACTTTTTCTAAGACACAACGTCGTTCAATATAAATAAAAACAAGGCTTGCCAGACGTGCAAATACAGTATCATACACATGAAAGCGTACTCGATTGTATCAAGGAGGATATTAAATATATTTATTCGATGAAAAAATTTTTGATTGAAACTTCAAACTATTTTTTTTTTTAAAAAAAATGAGCATGTCCAACTGGAGTTTGCCCAAACTTGTAAAAATTTATACAAGCTGTACGCAATCAACCATTGGACGCCATCTATAAGAAAATTTCCGACATTTTAGTAATAAACTCTATTTTAAAAAAATTACAAAGAAAGTGTGTAAAAAAAAGAAAAAAAAGACTGAATCACAATTTAAAAAAAAATAATAAATAAATAAAAATAATAAATAAATAAAAAATAAAATAAATAAAAAAATGTTGAATAAAATAAAAAGGTTGAAAAAATAAATTACAATTTTAATTTAAATAAAAATAAAATAAATAAACTATCATTGAATAAAAGAATTTTTGAAAATATATTCTAACAACTGAATTAAATAAATTAAATAACTAAAAATTTTTGAATAAAAAAAGGTTTGAAAATTTTTTGAAAAATACAATTTTAAAGTCCGAATTAAATCATTAAAAAAGAATGTTTTCTAATAAAAACAGAATTCTAACAAAAATAATAAAAGTCCAAATTAAAAAAAAATAAAAATCATTGCATATAATCTCCTAAGACCATTCCAAACATTTTTGCAGCAAAACTATTTCTTTTATTACGAGAGTTCGAGTATATTGAATTTTCCAAAGTTTCAAAACAAACGTTTGCCATAGATTCATGAACTTTAGATGAATAATGAAAATCATCAAAGTAGAAATAAGAATCTTTGTCAGTTTGACTGTCAGATTGATTGTATACGGCTTCAACTTTGTGATCAGGTTGTAGAGAGATATCAGAATTTGAAGATTTAGAAAGAACAATATTAAAAATATCATCAACATCTAAAGAATCGACATTTAAAGGCAGTTTTATATCATCACTTTTTTTTTCATCAGCTCCATAGATATCGAAGGCAGCATCAACACAATTTGTGATTCCAAAACTATTCATTCCAGTATCAGTTTGTAAAGCAACAAAGAACTTATCACATTTTAAATAAACAATCTTCACACCAGTTTCTCTACTAAATTTTACTAAATGCTCGAGTAAGTGTTTATTATGTGAATCAACCAATTTTGAAAGTTTTTCTTTTTCTACAGCATTCATTGTTTTAAAATATGGAACACGAGATAAATCAGGAAGGTTTGGTATTAACAAGGTTGAAATAGTAGGAAAGGATTTTACAAGGAGATGGAGTGCATCGATTAATGATTGAACAACAAGAAGCGGTTTTGCAGTCATGTCTGTAAAGTAATAATCATTACCAGTATCCCATACCTAAATATTTTTAAAAAAATGGTTATTAGATTTATGCGAAGTAATCATATAAAGTGGAATAAGAGAAATAAGAGAAAATTGAATACGTACAGCAAATAAAGTTTTACCAAAATCATTCTGGTTTGATTTTTTTAAACTTTTCTTTTTCAAAAGCTTCTTTAGTATTTTAGGATTTGCATTTTTCTTAAAGTATGATTGTAATTTATCAAGTTTAAGATTATGGTTCAGCGATTTCTTTGACTTGGTATTAGCAGAAATAAATGCTTCAATTTGCTGCTTAATTCCGGGAACTTTATGTTTATTCGGTCCTGTGGATCCTTGAATAAAACCGCTACTATTTAATTCATAATAAAAATGTTTAATTGTTAATGTTAATATAAGTGTGTATACTGTATACTGTTTATATATATATATGTGTGTATATATATGTAAATCTGTAATCAAATCACATTATTTGAGATAACTTACTCTGCTGTAGCACCACCGAAAGCATAATTCACTAATTCGACATTAAGAGATTCAGCAAGATATTCTGCCCATACTTTTCCGTTACAAAAGCGGCCCTTATAATTTATTTCTGAAGGCCATTGCTTATTCGTTAAATTATAAACGTTACCGGTATCTGTTTACAAAAATTAAATTTTAATTTCAGTATTATAATACAGAAATAGTAATGATATGTACAGTACATCATTGACATTTATAGAAAATGACAAACCTGTGAACGAATCTCCAAACGCGATCAATTTATTATATCTTTTACGTGGTGACTCTAAGTTTTTTACTAATTTAATTTTAGAAGCAATTTTAGAAGTAGTAGCATTTTGGTTTAAATTTTTGGAAGTAGACGAAGAAGCAAGATTTTGGTTTAAATTTTTAGAAGTAGATGAAGAAGCAACATTTTGGTTTAAATTTTTAGAAATAGATGAAGAAGCGACATTTTGGTTTAAATTTTTAGAAGTAGACGAAGAAGCGACGTTTTGTTTTAAATTTTTAGAAGTAGGCGAAGAAGTGACATTTTGGTTTAAATTGGTGATGGTGGTGGAGTGTTGAATTGGTGGAGAGTTTTTTTGGTTTAATATGCTAGAGTGGCGGGTAGGAAAGAAATTATACGATAAAGATTTGAAAATATGAAATGGCGTTGTGGCAAAATCCATTGTAAGAGTTTGAATTTTATAGTTCAGCTTCTTTTAGTCGCTTTAATGAATGTATATTTCTATTCAAGGATTTTATGAAAGGCTAATGCTTGACACGAGGGAGTTTAGCTCGCCTTTATATATTCAATTCATTATTATTATAATACATGCCATTTTTTAAAATTGACAAATCATTTAACGACTAGGAGATCTTATTCCTTGCACAGTCCTACTTTAATATTGCAGCTGCGAGATAAGCTACAATCCAATACAATTTGATATCCGAACAATACAGATACTTTTGAAACTTTGTACAATATAAGGATCTTTCTATGCATCAAATTGTATCTTTGTTTAAATTATGTCTCTTTAATAAAAAAGAATTAGAGTCAAGATACAACGTTATAAAGTTTCGAGACTTTTGATCAAAATTTGGATTTTAATTAAATAATAGGTAATATTCGTGAGTATAGTAGATAATGAATTTTCATTGTGCAAATGTTATGTGACAATTCTTGTTCAAAGTTTTTTTTTATTTCCTTAATATTATTTTTTATTCTAAATTTAACCATCAAAATTACTTATCATCATCCGGGATATTATGTTACACTCTGATCTGATTTTTTTTAGATTTGATGTTAATAATTTGACTAATTTAGATATGTAGAAACACATGGTTTGACAAAAATTCGGAATATGTAATCATCAAGGATTAATTCAGTGATTGGTCAATTCTGAATAAACAAATTGTCTTTCTTGATTTTCGACTTTTACGAATCAAAAGATCTAGAATATTCAGAACTGGATATATTGTTTTGTGTTTCATATAGTTTCTTGCATATCCATATATAGAAAAAACTCATTAGATTAATTAATAGCTTTGGAAAATATTTTAAAGATTGAATATTTAATCTTTTAGAGTATTACTCAGTCATCGATTATCCAAGGATATTATTCGTCGTATTTTAAGTATAATCTGGTAATTCCAATCGATAGGTTTAATTCTGAAATATTTCATATATTTTCGTATAGTAATTTAAAAACAACTTAAATTTTCGTAAATACTGCGGTTAATAAGTTATAAAAGGTGATACTTATTTTAATAATATTAAATTCGCGTTTCAAACCGATATTCTAATAATATTATATTTTGATTTGTTCGGTTATTTTTAAAAATAGTGTTTTTCGGAGTAAACAATTTAATTCTTCTATAATTACATGATTCATACAGTAAACTTCGAAAACTCCTTTTATTATGCATTTACAATAGCAAAGTACCGATTTTTTACTTAGTGAAAATTAAAAATCACATGAATAGTTGTATAAATATTTTAAAAAAGTTGATTAACTTATTTGTCGCGCATGGTATTATTTGCAGCTCTGTATGGTAATTCCTTTTCTTCAATAAGACCGACAGGTATTTACAGTACAACCTTTATCTCGTTATTTTATTGCTAAATTTGGCTTTAAAGAATCACAATAAACATGACAAACTTGCCAAGATAAAATTTTATTACAAGATATAAATTAGTTCGATTGGATAAACACATAAATATAAGCAAATATATGTTCATCTAAATGAAGATTTATTTATTTTACAAATTCGCTGAAGTGCAGAAGTAAGAAAATCCAATTTATTGATATACATATTGCATAAATTGTGTTCTTGATAATGTATAAAAAGATATACCATGTTTCGATGATCCCCAGATATGGCAATATTACAATGGTAATTGTTGTTTTGCCGTTTAGAGTTTTGTGTTACCAAATTGCGAAAATTTAAATTTCTAACTTTCAATTAATTTTCAAATATTTATTATTTTACTAATTCAAAATTCATTAAAATATCATTTAGATTGTTCTCATGGTCGTCCCTCACTATAATTAATCTAAAGGGTTGATTTTTAAATTTGATAAATATTGATCTGATCTATTATTTGAGTATACCGATCTTGAGTATATAAATGTCGTCAATAAAAACTTGGAAAACTTGGAAATTTCTAGGCATTCTTTTTTAATGCATGTATTACCACCGAGCATCTAATTAATGTACATATGCTAGTACAGATAATGATGATAACAATATGTATATTCGGATTAAACTTCCATTCAATTCAACAAAGATTTGTTTTTCATGAAACTTCTTCTGTCTATCTTGGTTACTTTTTTACTACCAATTAATTAAAAATTAGATTCTTGCAACCAATAATTAATTAATGATGCTATTAATATATAACATATGCGCTTTCTGTTTTTCATGCATTGCATATGTCCGTTATGTAAGTACCAATCTTTATTATCTTCACTTTATTCGGTTAATCCCATCAGAAATTCTTAAAGTCAAACTTAATTGAATCGGTCAGGCATTCTATAAAGGTAAGCAATTGTATCTATTTATGTCTAATAATTTATTCTAAACTTTTATATATGAAACCTAACAATTAAAATGTTTAAAATATTGATCGATCGAAAGGATTGTGTTTTCATAAATTGTCAATTTATAAGATTTAAACATAGAATATTCTTTTTAACTTCAATAATATTTATGTATTCTGTGGCGAATTATGACCAATGTAGGCAAGTCTCAATATATTTTCTATTACTGTACAAATTAACCTAAAGTAGTTCAGTTAAGGTGTGATAATCAGTCGATAGTAGCGAATTCTGAAATAAGCCAAGTGGTATTTTTTGATTATTGATGTCTTCGATTTACTACTATCATAAATTTTACCTAAATAGTAAATTTGTTAATTAATATGAAAGTTACATTGATCAGTCGATAGTAATCAGATCTGCTCTTAATTGTTAACAAAAATATGATAAAAAAAAAAATCCATACAGTATATATATACTTATTACAGAAAATTTAACAACGGATTGGTACCTCTAAAACATATCATAAAGCATTTCAAAATAATAAATTATCTTGGTTGTTATTTGTGTATGATAATGATCGAGCGAATAATGCTTTTCACACTTTTAAACAGTGACTTTCGACGAAATTTAGTTTGGGTAATTCCCCAGTCTTAAAGAATTCATTGTGTTATATACAATTTTATGAACATTCAACTTTATGCATAGATTTATTTCTAAAACTCAAGAATTTTGTGCCAGATCATTAAAAAAAAAGCAGAATTCTCTTATCACTTAGGTTATAGACAAAAATTTGATTTTGATATACAATATATGGAATTTATGTTTAAATTAAAAAAGTATACTTATTTCAGCGAAAAAAAGTATACTTATAATTATTATTGACTATTTTATCTAAAGAAATCAAACTGGGCACATTCCAATGCATTAGGCAACGTAAAAACTTTATTTTTTAAGTCTTAGTTGTGTCAATTATTCCACTTCCGCCCTTTAATTTTTTTATATAAATTAATCCGGTATCACCCGATAGTAGCCTTGTTTTCCCGAAATTATCCGATAGGACCGATAGAAAAAAATACGACAGCCAACCCAATGATACTATAGAAAAAAAATCAACTTTGCGTGTCTTTAGATGTGAACATGAGTCTATTAATTTACTGTAGATTAAAAAAAATCCGACCGACGACCGAATCCAAAACGAAAAATTAACTTTGTGTGACCTTACACTATGCAACAATCCGGTTGTGACTTTTACGGCATCCGAATGCTATGCCGTAATTAAGTTTACCATCGGCCACAACGCAGTTCAGTAATTTTAACGTCAACTAAGATAAAGGCAAGAATGTACATAATCTACTAAAGGTACAAATATAGTATAATACACATGAAGAGTACTTGATAGTATCAACGAGTATTTATTATATGAAAAAAATTATAGACAAAACTGTAAATGGTTTTAAAAATAACTGGAGTCACCAATTTTGTCACGGCCGATTCTCGATATTGATTGGCTAAAATTCCGGCCTAAAATTTTGATCGACACATTTAGTGACAAAATTATGCAACAATACGTCGTACGTATGTACTGTCACGGGCAGAATAAATCGTGACCACCTAAAACGTGACCCAAACGACGATCGGGTCCCAGATCGGTGAACGAT